ACATATCTAAATTTAATAAAATATTTCTTGTTTCCTAACTCATAAATTTGGAATTTGTGAAATAATTTTCAATGTATGGACAATGTCAATTTCCACGTAGTTGTCATCTGACTAAGATATTATCTTATTATTTCTCCTTTACCCTTATTAATATTCAAATGAGAAAACCAATTCGAATAGGCGTTTGCGCACCTAATGTCTTACTATTGTGTCACGAAATACTACAATTGAAATGTTAAATTACATATCTATTCATATCCAGTATTCGATAAAGGTCAAACAAATCACAATAACGCACGACTTCCAATTAAAAAAAGTTAACAATAAGTGAAAGGGTGTCCACATCCACTCCAAAATATTCGAGACCCACTGAACCAATAAACATAACCTGTACCAGTGAAACGGTGACCAAAAAATATCCTGTCAAACTGGGACGCGATAAAATAACCTATAAATTAACCGTTAGTCAATGTAAAGGATGCATTTGACACGTGATCGAAATGTTTATGTCCGTTTTAACTATTCATATCGAAAACAACGGTCTATTGTATGCACCGATTTGTAATTCCCCATAGGTTGGTTATTTAACCGTTCGAAAGTGCAATCATTTAGTGCGGATGCAAATATTTCGAAATCCAATTGCACAATGCATTGAAAGTGCTATTTGCGGTGCATAGAAATGGTGGACAGGGTAATGTGAGTTATCTCGGCGATTAAATAAATACCTAATTATTTCAATTTATATGAGAACGGCTACGTAAAAGTTCATTTACATCCATTTATCTACTACCATTTTCACCTCACTTTTAGTTAAAGAAAGTTACATTATACGAAAATCAAACGTTCTAATTGTTTAGTTCTAGTACTGAATTGGAAAATAGAGCTTTCCCGTAGACATCCGATTTTCACTTAAACATTATGGCGGTGGTAGGCATATGACTGTATTTTGCGTAAATACACAAATAATCATAGTGCTATAGTCAGACTCCATGGATGTAATCATACAACGTGAATAGAGACTATCTAATTACATAGCCTTGTTTGTGCACCGTCTATATTAGCTTGAAGCACAGAATCTATATTCAAGCTCAGTATATATTTTTTTAAAGAAACCGATTAAAAAATGCGTCAATTGAACAAATCTTGATAACAACGTAACATTAACAAAAACAACTGATTTAGTATATGAAAATACTTTCATTGAAACAATCGAGTTTAGTGAATATTTATCAGATATTACTAAAACGATTATTCAAATGCAAACATATATTTATACTATAATTACTTGAAAAGGATACTACAGAGAGAAATGATAAAAGATCCCTCATGCAGAATCAATACTATCGATAAGGAATAACAAGAAATTATACGGTATCGACAGGAAACTCTCAGTGTATATGTATCTTTATATACAAGTTTATTCCTTGGAGACATCTACCATTTATTTATGGAACCTCATTCCATTTACAACGCACGTTGAGGATGCAAATAGTAATTTACATATCACCAATGAAGATGCAGCAATATATCAGGCTGTAAATATTATCATGAAATTAAGAAAACACTTAGTTGAAGAAGATAAATATTTTGGTAGTGAAATTCTAATAGGATTGAATACAAGCCAGGTGTCCGCTGTAGTGTCGTCTCAAGTATTTGTCTGCAGTGCTGTATAAATAGATATTGGAAATATAAACAAAGGCAGTCACGGCAGTGTAGAGATATTAGGAGACAAAGGCAAGCTGGGACGCAATGATAGAATACAAGAAAGTATTAAGTAAAAATATTGAATAATGACTAGTTTTCTTACAACTATTTAAAATTAACCAAAAAACAATAGCAAAAGTAAATCTTGATATCAGAGACCAATAAATGGAGATTGCTTCGAATGACATTGTATCTTATGACACAAAACAATTCAAAGTGTACCTTAACATTTTAATGAAGCGACAAGACACGGCCATGGTAATAACAGTACCACCCCGACATTCTCAGACGATATCGAACTGCATCTGAACCCGTGACAAACAGACATACATAACACAATAATACGGTATAGTAAATCTGTAAATCGATACATCACGGACTCGATATCACATGGCATATCTCGCTCGTCAATCGAGAGGATTACCAGCGACACGGCATTACACATTATTTATGCATATTATTTCGATACGAGCTCTCGATATCTCGTTGTCTGATCGATACATTTGTACTTACGTGAAAATCATGGTAACTTTATTTTTGTAGAAAATTTAAATACAAAATGATTTTGATCTTAACGGATATTGTAACACAAGTTCCAGAGAAGTGATTGCAGTAAAGTGAGGTTCCATAAAGTTATACACGTTTTTGGAGCGAAACTGTAAACGACGAATCTTTCCATATTCGGATGTGGTTTTATAAAATTGTATGTACAATTATCTCCATCTAGTTATCAGCATTCAATAAAAACGTTAATCGAAAACCTACTTTATATCTATGTATAAAATGTAAAATTTCTTATGTTTCCTCGGGAATCATTCATAACTAGCCTCGGGCAGAATCTAAAACTGTCAACAGTACATTGCTATCATCTATAATAGTCTAAGATATACGACAGATTCGTTTAAGGAAGTCATAAACCACGATATAATATCAAATTACATTCTATCCAACTATTACTGCTATTAATAAAACTTAAAGAATGTCACATTAATACCAACACAGTCGGTTCTCCTATTAATGTCATAATTAGAAATAGAATCTATAAAGAACATAGTACTGAACGTTTATGCTTCCAGACAAACCCAATCGGACGCCTTACCGTTGCAGAATTATTTTATAACGGTAACCAAGGTAATAGTTACTTGTCAACTGAGAACTAATTCTGTGTTCTACATGTAAAGATGTTTGATTAATAAAGAGTTGTTAGGGAATGGATTAAACACTCATGTAAGTGCAGTAAAAGGACATTCAAATGATAATAGTGCGAGTAATGCATCAACGTGTGTGGACCACTCTCTTCTTAGTTGATATGCAGGAGACAATGTAAATAAACATGTAATGAATTATACAGTTGTTGTTGCAATCAAGTCCCATTCTGTGATTGATTGATGGTCTTCTACGAGATCAATATTCGAAGCACAATATGTTCAACATGTTGGTAATTTAGATATATCGGAATCTTCTATGGTACTAGAGAAAATGACCAAAGACGAAAATTTTCTATAACTACACTTCTACTGTCCCGGCGAACTTTTTACCGCCTCAAATATAACTATACATATTTTCTGACCTTTTAAACCTTCCTTGGACTTCAACGAATATTTGAAGACAAAAATTATCCAAAACGGATCAGCCGTTTCGGAGTTTTATGACTAATGAACAGCATTTCATTTTAATATATAAGAAGATATATAAAAAGTTTGCTCAGTAATTTAAGTGAAGAACTAATAAAGTTAGATATCCAATCATAAAACTAGATCAACTTATAAACACTGCCACTATTATATGAGAGAACACGAGCACGTACAATATTGAATCCATTGATACAGTAGCTGACTACATATTGAATAGGTATTATAATGAAATCTGTTTCTCTTACGATACGTTGAAAACACGGCGATACAAAGCGGCACGATAAACTTACCTGTAAAGAGAGAAAACAACATTAAATTCATATGAAAACATGTACTTAAGGACTAGGACCATCTATACAATATAAATTGATTGCACTGCGGGAAGGTTGCAACAGGTGGACTTTAGAACACCATTGAATATTAAATACGCAATAAACGTCGATAATAAACAACGTTCATTATGTAAATTGTTGTTAAAGAGGCACATCTCATAGGAAAAGTTGTTCAACTGCTAACAACACTACTATTAGGTATGGTCAGTTTCACTCTTGAAAATAATGATGCAGATTATAACAGTCGGTAATGTTATAAGAATACACATAAACAGTAATAAAACATGAATTAAAAACACGAATAAATTAAAGAGACGGAAGAAATAAAAATTATTTGAAAATGACAGATAATAAAAATAAAGAACCACCCGATGCAAACCACACAGATAACAAAAGTGGTAACATAAAAACTAATATAAAACGTAACACAGAAATGAAACATTCAAATTAAAAGCCAGATTGAAATCAATAGAACCTGATTACGTAACACCAGATTTTCACCGAACCTACAAACGCATATCAAATCGATTTCAGAAACATTCATTTAGGAAACAATGGATATCGCAATAGCTTAGAACAATGAACGGAAGATCGGCATACACTCATTGATCATGTAACATCTGAATTTGATTTAAAGATATTTGCAGTTGGTCACGGTCCAGCTACCCCGTTGTTTATTGTGTCTGGAACCCATAGATCTATGGGTTAAGCAACTCAAATCATTACTGTCCCTAAAGCTTCAGACGAAGCCATGAAATTATTCAATAATAAATTTTCATGCAAATGAAAGAGCAATATCTGTTTTAAATTGCCTATCATCATTTCCGATCACAACCATAAAAAGAGAAATGTAACAGAACCTTTTAAATAAAACAAAGTAACCGTTAGAATAACCCAAAAGATTAGCAATGCAATTTTTTAATTTAAGAATGGATCAGCGAATTATAACGGCTACAACTTTATACATGCCCACTGGTATACTGGTTTTGACAACATGTCAGAAGAAGAAACTTAAAAATGCGAAAACAAAGGAATAATAAGTTTCTTCCGCTGATGTATATCTGGGATTGTTTGATGGACGTACGGCCAGCAAAGCTGTGATGGACGTAATTTAGACCTTTCACGCCTATGAACGCAACGAACCGTGTGTTTTGGATATACAACGGCTTGTAAACACAAATTGGTTATTAAAGATAGATGCTATGGTGAAACACAGGAAGTGACGGATCTTAAGTCCAAATCAGAAATAACTATGGAGCTTATCTTACAATGAGCTTCGATTCGAGAGGTCTTTGTATCACTCCATCTTACAATAAACACTTGTTTGATAATGTCAGCCACTGATGGGGCCAATAACAATGGTAATGATGATGATTATGATGTTAGCACGTTTAAAACGGTAGTGTTTGATGATATCGATCGTCAAGTAAGTTTAGTAATATTATATCGCATCGCACGATTCGCCAGGCCATTTAACGGGGCTGCGAAATGATCGTCAATCATTCGACAGCGTTTTGTTCGACTTTTGTGGGCAGAGTTATAAATCGCGGGCTCTATCAATCAAGGAATACTGTTTGTTCGATAGTTAATTTACTCGAGAATTCTTTATGATGAATTTTAATTAAGGACTCTTTGTATTCGTTTCGTAGAATGAAATAGAATGATGGTGCAGAATTTCCAGTTATAACATAACGAATTAATGTGATATACGAGAGAATCTCCTTAATAATGTTTCAGTATGTGCAGACATAATACTGTATTTTTAGTACATGATGGCACATAAACTATCCTTTGTGTACAAGCATTTACAGCTAAGTTAACCAACAAATAGACACTATAAATCTCAGCAATAATATTGAATTAATTTCTATGAAGGTTAGCGTTTTCATTGCCATTTTGTACATTGAGACACACTGTGCGCCATTAATGTCTGAGAAAATTGCATAGTGGGCGGAAAATTATATTAAATTCATCGTTCAACCCTATTGTGTATAGGGCGAGTGCATAGGCGCGGGCCGGGGAGCCGCGCGACGGGGTGGGCGACGCCATTCATGACTCGGTCTGAATAGGGCCATAAACGCAAATTGCAGGGCTGGCACACGAGGTATTGTTGCATGCGTATTCAGAACAGCGGTGTTGCGTGTAAAGGGAACGTGTCGACGTCGCGTCATGTCGCCTGCCTACATCAGCTTGTTTTGTTGTTTCCGACATCAAAGTGTTGATGAGAAGTGAACTAATGCGGGGATTTGTGTCACGCTTTTTCCGTGGGAAATGTTATACGAGAAGCCCGGGGAGCCATGCTTATTTTACCAGAGATTATTATCAACGTTAGTTTAGAGCTGCTAATTCTATCGGTAGCGAACTCAGACAACGTATTTCCTGTTGTAAACGTATTGCTTTAAATGAATTACGGAGTGTATGGTACCGTTGTACCACGAGTCCGCGGAATTGCAGCTAATAAACGCGATCTGTCTTCGTATAATCCCGTACAGCCGCAGCGCACATCTGCAGCGAATTTTAGCCGCGCACAAAACGTACGAACGTTGCAATTATCCTTAACAAATACGCTACACTTATGTAACTTGTTTAATAACGCTAATTCAGTTCTGTCAAGTCTATCAATTCGGCTATATGTATGTATTTTTCGCTCCATCAGTAATATCGTCATTGTTTACAAACAGTCAGTCATTCGCGTCTCTCATTAAATCACTTCGCAACAGCAATTTAGTGTCGTCAACATATAGGAGACGTCATCAATGGCCGGCACGATTACAACATGATTACTTAGCTGTAAATTTATGATATAGAGGAAATAGTCAGCCATAAACGGCGGTCCAGTAATCTTCTGCAAATATTTTATAGAAAAATAAATGGAATTTACATCGCTCTGGAAGAAAATAATTCATAGTACATACCATGGAGAACGTTGGGTTTTATTTCATCTATTTAAATCGAGCGGTTTACAGAGTAGAGCTTAAATTGTACGAATTTTGCATGAGTTTAACCTAACTCTACTGTAAAATTAAAGAAATATTATAGCTATATCGTATCAGAGAATAGTTGAATAGTTAAATGTTCAACATTCCGTTACCTACCGCTTTCGCAGAATAAAGGGTATTTTTATATCTATTTATAAAAAGAACCGTAGCATTTAACAAACAAACATAGAATTGACTTAATTAAACAAAACAAATTCTTTTTTTCCTATAAAATTCTACGACATTCCAAATGCGTGGGCGTTAATTGAATTACAATTATAAATTATGTACAATCGATAAAAATCGTTGTTCTTACAAAAGCTTAGGCGAGTTTATCCGCGTATCACAGTTGAGTACGTGAGATACCCTCAATTACCAGCACTCATACCGACACGGTTCGTTTATTCGACTATTTATAAGTTAACTTGCATTCTTAAACGAAAACTTACTAAAGAGTGATGTGCCGCTATAAATACGATGCACGGGTATAGTCGATTATTCGAAGCATAACTCAAATCGATATATCGAATCGATGAAATATTTTACTGATTTCATAAATCTGATTTAGTGTTAAAAATATTTAATCGAACAATTAAAGTTCGGAACGGGTATTATTTATTCGGAACCACTTAAATACTAATAATTAGCAGTATCGTAAACGTTTAATAAAATGACATGGGTGCATGAACAATAAAAACGTTAATATCGACATGTTTCCTGTTCATAAACTTAAATAAACAATGGCCATAATATTTGCTCGCAAAATTATAAAGTCCGACATCTTGTTTGAAACAAAGAATGAGTACAATTATAAAAGATTTCTGAAAAATGTAATTAACTTAAGACTTGTTATTAATATTCTCCGAAAAACAACGTGAAGGAATTGCAAATTGGAAAGCTTTTTCGTAGCTTTTCCGACTACCCGTTTAAGTTTGTAACCGTTTTGAACTTTAAAGAGACGGTCATCTCTCTGCATCTTTTCAGAGTAGTCAGATAGGAAATGCGGATTAAACTAGTTATTTAATGTTATGTGAAAAAGTACCGTTTATTTACTGTTTCAACTACATCCCCATTGACAGCCGACCGAAATCTACAAGAAAACTTCTTAAAACAATATAAAATTTTAAACACTCTTAAACGAATAAATACCTATAATTACAAAGTTAAGGTATATTTCAACTTTTTAGTAATTACATGTACACCCGTTGTATTAATTGCTTACAAAGAAAGACAGCTATTATGTACTTTTTCATATGTCAATAATCAAGTAGATAATGACGGAACGAATTTCATAAACAAATTAAAAGATTGATAAGCCATACATGATTTGGTTTCTTTAGGTTAATGAATCGATAATTATTTCATAACATATTTTTGGGGGAGGAAATATCCCCAAATGATCTTCTGGGTGTTATGATAGTGAGTGTCAGACTCTTACTAACTAAAAACAGGCATAATCTAACATTACCTATCTACAATACCAGCTAGGGTTACGTATAAAAAGCGTAAATAACCGGCTTTACGGTGTCTACAAATAATTTGGTTTGTATGTCTTGGAGATGTATCTACGTTTCTTTCAAACTCCAAACAGATAAGAACATAAAATAAAACAAAACCAATTGCTTTATTTGGCCAACTTATTTTTCCTGTAGTAAAACAAACTCACTCTTGAAGTTATTATTAAAGTTATGTAGTAAGCAAATACCCAATCGATTCTGAATCGATAAAAATCGGCATTTTTATGGACAACATTATAGACGTTACGCCTCGTTAAATATTGCTTACATAAAACCTACTTGAAAACTTGAGTTTGCTATACATTGAAGACTACTTGCTTATGTATAGATTTGGCATTGCGGGTATACCCTCGATGGATAGCGTTTTTGGCTTCGATCCAACAAAACAGGACGAAAGGCCAAACTGCGGAACTGATCAAAATCATCGATTAGAGGATATTTGTGAAATTAACTGTCGTGACTTAGGACGAAAGGAATACAAATTCTTGAAATGACAAAATAAAATTCAATAATTATGCACATTTACCAGCACCAAGAAAAACACATAGTAACTTTGTAAGTTTCATTTACGTATTATACGACAGAAATTAATTACTTAATGTAAGCCGAACAATAAAAACTAAACATTCATCTAAAATTTCTAGAAAGTGCGTACATCAGCGACGAACGATGACAAAGCAAATGCATAGCTGGATTGGCCATTAATAATATTGTACAATACGTGCAATAGCTTCAAATCAAAAGCTTCCAGTTTGATAGAAAGTTTATATCTTTGTACAGTGACGGTGCACATTTATTTGGGTGCCGTTTACCTGACGAATCTCATTTTTTATTATTAAAAATAAATAGATATTTAGAAAGAACAATGTGTGAGACTTATGATAGAAAACAAATATGTTTTTTATAAATAGTCATTCGTTAGTTTCTTTGCCGACCTTGGAAAGATTACTACTAAGTTGCCATCTACATTCGAGGCTTAGACCAAGTGATCCAATACTTTTAGAGCGTTTTATACCTAATATAATTCCACTTCGATATCAATAAACCTCTCAGTAAAAGAGCACTAGCACGTATCGCTTTGCTATTCGAGCGTACATAGATAATTCTGTACAAAACCATCACGCGCAATCATTAGAGATAAATATTAACTTGCAAAGATTTTCTCCACTTTTACTTGGTTTCTATAAATTCCTGTCTACATTTAGCTCGAAATGATAACATTAATAACATTTTATTACCATTACGAGCTAGCAGTACGTTTCTAGGCAATATCACGAATATATTAACCTTCGGAACATGCGTATTTAATGAGAACATCGCGCATACTTTAATGTTCTAAGAGCTAGAACCGTTCTGGTTTCTTGAGCATATTTTCATAGATTCCAACACTTGGCGTGCAAACCGAGAATGTGTGGTTGAAATAGTGATGTTGCTAGCCTTATTCGCATATCGACGGAGCAAATAGAGCGTCAAGAAAGTCCCACATAGAATGCGCACATAGTTAAACATCTATACTAATATTTCCAGTTATCATTGACCTCTAATGCGTATGGGAATGTGTGGCCGTGAGAGTTCATAATGTCTTGGGAATCCGGTTCACAGAGTGCAAAAAAATCTTTAGCTGTTAACAGTGAAATTCACATGACGGTAGCGAATGAAAAAGTGATGTTAGCAAGTTGCAAGATATAAACGGTAGCTGTCAATGGGTTTAAGAGTCGAACTTTATGGATGAACGTTGGTACATTTTTTGCTTTGATACTGCTAAGAACTGGTAATAAGGATAACATCAGAGACTTAAACAGTAGAAGCTAAACCATATCCTGAATTAGGTTTACACGAAATGCTTCAACTAACCACCACTTCAATACCACAAAACATACTAAACACAGAACTAAGTACGAATATGTACAAGACAAAACAAATTGACATCA